AAAATTAAACCACCACCCAGCTGTAGACCCTGTCTAATATCAATCTAAAACATCGAGAATTATCAGATATTTATCCAATAATTCAAATGTACAATAGGCCGGCTTCCTCTAATGCATAATTCATCGTTCAGGGTTAAGGTCCATATTAGACAGATTTCCTTAAGGAAGTCAGAAAGCACTATTCTATTTTATTCTTCGTTGTTCTATTGCATTGTTCTGATATTCCTCTTTATTCTGAAAATATTCCCATATGTTACACTCGTAAATTACAGTTGGGCCACACTGATTTAATTTTATGGATGACATCCTCTGAAGACCCCAAAACTAATGCGAGAGAGAGAAAAAAAAATCCTGCCAAAAAAAAAATGCTTTTGCTAAAACCACAGGACTACGGAACTATTATTACGAATTGAACCACAGTGTATCAAAAAAACAACAAGTCTTTATTTGTAGGAGGCACATGTTGATGTACACATCTCGTACTGTATTACTGTCGCAGGTATCATCACCTTTGATTTTGAAAAGGCAGGAGGATAAGGCAGATGTTAGCTTTGCCAAAGGCATACACATCAACTCAATAATAAAGAAAAACTAACTGTGTTGTATTGAACAAAAAAATATTAAAAATGAACAATAAGTTTGTCAACAGCAACCTGGAAATTAACTTCTTTGACATTCAAACTACAGCTTTTAAAGTGACACTTCAGATAGACTAAGTGTAGACACAAACTACTTCAACTATGTAACAAATTATAAGAGGCTCGATATTGTAAAAAAAACACCAACAGAGAGTCAACAAAAATTTGGATGCAGAAAATTATGTACATGTATCTTGATGAAAATTTTTCATATGATCAAAATATTACTGACTGTGTGTGCAAGCAAATTATCCAAATCAGAAAATGAAAAAAAAATATAATAAGAAACTTTTCTTCACCCCAAAAGGGGACTTCGGCCGAGGAGCTTCCACTGCTTTCGTTGCAGTTTTGTCGACTTCAATGCGGACAAAGCAACCGAACTGTCTTTTTGTCTGACCGACTTTTAGGCCACCATACACCTCCATTCCTCTCCCATTTGTCTTATCGTATAGCTGTGTAAACGTCGAATCTCCCAGGCAAACGTCAATTGTGTACCAGTCTACAACAATCCCTTCGTTTTATCTCTGAACTTTTATGCTCACGTATTTTGGTGGCGTGGATCGCCATGTTGGATCATTTATGACAAAATTGGCATGTTTTGAGACAATTTCCTTCCCATAGGTCTTTGTGTTTTACGTAACGCGCATCTAACCTTGCGGAGTTTGGTTTTGAGTTTAGAGGTAGTCCAAAATTAGTTTTACCTGTTTAAGGACAAGTCGGCGCTTTGCGACAATATGAGTCGGCAAGTTCCGGACAGAAAACCGATCTGTGGAAACTCATCGTCGGAGATTTTTTTTTTTTTTTTTTTTTTTGAGACCAGGCGAAAACTGATGCGCGCGGATGTCATCAATAAAATTAAGTCGGTGTGGCCTTGGTATAATACACAATTTAAATACTTATCCTTATATCTGCCAAAACATGTATATTCCGTATTTATATTACATTATTACATTATTTCTTTGTCAATATCCTCCGTGTTCTGCAGACGTATTTGAAACTGCCTATTCGCTCCATTGTGCAGTCGTCG